CCCATCCAGTTAACACAGAAACAGATGTAATACTCACACGTCACTCTGGTGTGTGTATACCCGGTCAAACAGAGCTTCTGGTGCCATCCACTTCACAGGCAATCGACCCTGCGGTGACATCACAAGCCCCATTACCGAGGAATGTCTCCATATATCAGAGTACCACGGTCGTCAGCATACATCTCAAAGTTCATAATCATGGGATGACAGAATAAAACGCACCAGCGAAGGAACTTAATGATTTCTGCTACTAGTCAACAGGACTAGAACAGCTTAGACGTAGTCTTACATACATATTTTTTTACTAGCCAGCAGAATAATGTTCAGCCTTTTGTACTCGCCTTTTGTGATTGAGAGTTTGCTGCCTTTACAAGGAAATACTGCATTAGCAAACTCTTCCTGGTACTACAAAAATCACCTATTATCCCAGCAGATTTAACAACACTGTAAACAGTGCCGTGCAAAAATATTACTATGTAATTAAGGTAACTTATTTTACATAGCACTAAAAACAGCTTACCCTGCCAAAAGTGCTTCACATATGCAAAATTAAAATAAATGAATACATACAGAAAAAATACTCAAAAACAATAGGTTCCTAAGCCAAACACTTCTGGATTCCTCTTAAAAATACCTGATTTGTCTAGTATGGCACCTCCGCTTAAAAGGATCAAATTTCCCAAATGATGCACACACATATTCTTCCTATCAGCATCTTTATTGCAAACTCAGTCTCTCGTAGCAAACTTTTAAAGTCGGTATCAATTATTCGTCTGCAAATCAATAGCATCAATAACATAGAAACATCAAGAGCATCAATAACATAGAAACGCCGCTTACATAAGTATCGAACCCCTGTGCTCTGGAAGCTCCAGATAACAGAAATAGACACAGAGGGAAAGCATCTCCTTAGCAAGGACATAATAGTCTTAAAACAGGCCTCCACCTGCGATTATCCCCCCGCCCCCTTCCCACCCCAGCTCAGTTTCACTATCATTGGAAAGACTTTCAAGTGTGAAGGAAAGCAGTGAAAATGAAGATTAAACGGCACCAGAAGATACACCATGGTTATGGCTGCACTTACATTGGTGGTCTTCTTGTAGTAATCGATGTGGTGGATATCACGGGCCAAGCCGAAGTCGGCGATCTTCATCACGCTGTCCTCGGTCACCAGGACGTTGCGAGCGGCCAGGTCTCTATGGATACACTGCGCACACATACACAGCCATGGGGTAAATGCACTTCTTAATCTCTCAGGGTAATCAAAGCAACCCTCAGATATCCCGCCACCCCACTCCCCAGGTCAGGCTGAAGTACGTCGGTCGCTCAGTCACCTTTTTGGAAGCGAGATACTCCATCCCCCGAGCCACCTGGTAGGCGCAGGAGACGAGATCCTTGATGGACATGTTCTCCACGGGCACCTGGTCGGGATTGTAGCAGTACTCCATGCCGGGGGGGCGGCGGGCTCGAAGGTATTCTCTCAGGTTGCCTTTGGATGCGTACTCCACGATCACGTAGAGAGGTCCTGCACACACGGGACGGGATGGCAGAGACATGACTTGTCAAACAAGGTAATTAAAGAGGGCGGAGTCAGCTAATTTCTGACCAATCATTTCATTGTGGAGATTTGGGGGCACAAATTGGGTCATATGTGCTGCAGACCAGTGATGCAAACAGCAAACAGGAATAACATCAGAGGTTTAGGTGGAGATCTCAGCACCACCTACGGACGCTGCATCTTCCAATAAGCACACACACAGCTCAGCTCTGAGCAGCAGCGTGAGGAGAGGGGAAGGAACTGTCACGCTGAATCAGATCAGCTCCCTTCAACACGAGCCAAAGAACAGGGAAAGATCTCGTTCAGCAGAATCCCTACCGGGGCCCTATAACAAGATTTTTTGTTTCCTTTCCAATGAAAACTAAGGAGAAGACAGAGGGAGAGAGAGAAAAACTTTACAGCCAACGTGTGTGGAAAAGGCTCCACGCCAAACCAGAAAGGTTCAAGTTAAATGATTCAGAGCCTGGATAACAGGACCTTGGCAAGTTAAACCTAGAGAAGAACTACCCAGAGAGCATGACAAAGGCTGGGGGGAGGGGGTGCTGGGCTGAGAAGGGTCAGGGTTTGTCGGTTACCTGAGATCTGAAGAACAGGACACTGGATAATGTCTGGAGGCTGAAGTTCTCGCTGTAAACATGTGGCTCTGAAAAAGCATCACATGCTTCTCCCCCCCCCTCCCGCTTCATTCGTCTTCCAAGCCGCACTGTGTCAGAAGACGCCCTTTAACGTCCTTGAACACCCCCCCCCTCCCCCAGAACTCACCATCCTGGGTGCAGGAACCCAGCAGGTTGATGATGTTCTTGTGCTTCCCGATGATCTTCATCATCTCCATCTCAGAAATGAGGTCTGACAGGTCCTTCTCGGTCGCGTCGGCTGGAGAGACAGAAGACGGGTGGCATGCGGGGTTTCCATCAAACCCACATACGTGTGCTAACTCCACACCAACACGTCACAATGTACGACAGCTAAAGGAACAAATCCACCCTCTGATTATTTTTGCATATAATGTCATAACTCATGTTTTGTACCACCTTTGGAATCTACAAAATCTACAAAATGCGTCCGAATGAAGGTCTACATTTCAAACTAAGTAAATCATCGCATTGTTGTGATGTTTTCGGTCGGCGAGTCTCTGCTCTGCTTACATTTCAGCATCTTAACGGCCACCTTGGTCACTCGGTTGGGTTTCTCCTTGTCCAGTCCAATGGCCTCTCCCATCATCACCTGGCCAAAGCATCCCTCCCCAAGGGGCTTCCCAAGCACCAGCCTGTAGGAAGGACAGGGAATATGAAGCTCATTAGCGGCCGGGAAACTGCAGCATGACGCAGAAATTCGGGGCTTGCTTTTCAAATTATAGTGCACAAATTCACAATAACATACGGTAAATATTTCAGGGTGTCTATTTATCATTGCACAAGTTCACAATAATATGCGGTAAATATTTCAGGGTGTATTTTAATCAGTAAATTGGGAGCGGCTCCAGCTCTTCCCCCACCTGTCGCGCGGCACCTCCCAGCGGGGATCCTGCGGCAGCTCGTACTCCGAGACGCCGGACAGCATGGGCAGGCCGCTGGAGGAGAGGCGCGAGGGACGGACCAGCATCACCCCCGAGTTCAGGGAGGAACTGGAGTCCACCGACACCTGCAAGCGTAGACCACAAGGTCATCGTCCGAGACCGGGGGCGAGATAGGGGGGGCAGCGTAAAGCCACGTCCGGCCAGGGCAGCGGGTGTAGGAGGAGACAGGAGGAAGTTATAAGTAGAACTGAGACAGAGGAGGCCACTTTGCTGAAGGAGGATAATGAGAGTCTGCCTTCTGCTCGTACCTGTCACGCCTTTGGTGTTTGCGGAGAACTGCCTGCCTGATTAAAAGAGCCATAAGCACATCCATCCCCACAGAGAAAGGCCATATAATTAGTGCATCCATGAATAAGAATGAATCATGCGCTAGAAATAATGAAAATAAAAAATATGTTGGGGGGGGGGGGGGGGGGGGGGGG